CTCACGCGTACCCCGCTTACGCGGGGTACGCGCGAGTACGCGCGGGTATACACTTTTTGCCTGCTTCGCAGGCAATTAGCAGGCAAAAAGTGTGACATTTTTTATTTAGTGACCAAGACACGCGCTTTAGTTTAGTGTTGATTTGGTCAAAGACCTCATTTCAATTTCCGCTAATCTGAGATTTAAAAAACAGGGTAGAGGGGTGATGCTTATTTTCGAAACTATACGGTAAGTTAAATGATAAGATTAAATAGAATTTGAGCCAATAATATATATTATACAGTGTGATTACTAATATTAAAAGTGGTTATTTGTCGGTGATTGTAAAATTGCTTATTAATTGCTTATAAGTTTATTTATCAGTTACTTATCAGTTTTTATAAGCAGTATACCGAAAAGATCAGCTAAAAAAAAACCAAATGATCCAAAACTGACCTGTTGCTTACCATTTTTTATGAGCAATGTACCAAACAGATCAGCTAAAAATAACCCAGGATGATCCAAAACTGAACCGTTACTTATCAGTATTTAAGAGTGGTGTACCGAGCATGTCAGCTAACATCATGATATGTCACCTAATTTTATATAGTCACAACACTCTACTAAAAATTTCCGCCCATATGTGCTTGAACTGCATGCTTTTGACTCTAATTCTTCTTCAGCTTATTCTCATGATGCAAGAAATGATGTAACTATTACTATTAGAATATACAATAAAGGAATCGGCATAAATAGGCACGCTGATAATGATTTTTTGACATCAAATTGAATCAATTATTGTCGCAGATCATAATGAAATTGGATTAGAATGAAACTGGGGGTCTTTCTTGCTCATCTTTAAGGCTTATAAAACCCACTTATACTCTTTTATTAATAAAACTAACCCAAAACCCTAACCTTAGGCCAGGGTTGGTACATTTGTCCATTGGTACCAATGGACCTCTGGTCCATTGACCAGACCCATTGGGTCCATTGAAAAATTACTGACCCAATAGATCAAATATACTAATAATTTAAATATAGTAAAATTAATTTTGTCTAATATAATGCTTATATAATCAAACAATAAGTAGCTGCGCGACATTATCGTGTGAAACCAGGAACGGACGACAACTCCAATACTGAATAGTTATATAAGTTATAGTTTTGAATTCAGATAAATAAATATCGGGTATAAAACTAAATACAGCATAACTATATTGATACGAGACACTATAATTTAAACAAATAAAAAATTTCATAAGATTTTTAGACGTATATAGAGTGTAAAATACCTCTTTAAAAAACATATTATAACAACCCATCCAATGCTAACCTTAATAATACATAATGCCGGAACAAATATTAAAAATAGGAGTATTTCACACCCTATGCCGTACGGATCCGTTCATAATAATCTCCATGATTTAGAAATGATCTTGGCAAATGATAATTATATATACTAACACAAGTTGAACAAATGAATATCGCGTGCATGCTGGGAGACAAGTTTCCTGATATGTAACTGGCAGCATATTAGTAGGATATCAGGAGCAGTACAATATTGGGATACCCAGATATATTACTCTTAGCACTCTGAGCCTAAAAGTAAAATCCCAATATTTTGCTATTTATGTTGCTGATATCGATTTACTTTGTCAATATGCTGCTGATATTCAACGGACCTATGGCAGACTATCAGGTACATATCAGGAAACTTGTCTTCAGTTATGCACCCGATATTCATTGATTCAATCTGTGTAATATGGATAAGAAACTAAATGAGATAAGAATAGTTCATATTAAATACTTAGAATAATTAAACCAATGAATAATCACTAAGCTTAGAATAATAGTGCTCAATGTGATTGGATAGCTATCGAGATCATTCATAAGTACTACGATTAATTGAAGCAATCTCTACTGTAATTTTGCTGAAGTCTATGACAAAAAAAGATGGCTTCAACCTTTTTTTTTATCGCAATAATGAACCTACTTACCGGATAAACTACTTTCCACCAATTAAAAATTGGGTTCCGACCTATAATTTATGTGCTTGTGAGAACCTTAAATCATGTAGAAAATACTTAATTGAAATATCATGTGAAAACTGGCATTATATGACAGAATTTTGTAGACCAATTTCAACTCATTAAAGTTTTTTAGAGCTGTTAACGCTTGTATGGCTTCTTTAAATGCTATATTGCTTTAAAATCATTATTACTGTAGCAAAGTAATGATATTGAATGCGAAGCGTATCGATATTATTTATTACAACTTGAGCCATGTTCTAGCCATAACACAATTTATGGCTTCAATAATATAATCTGAAGCTATGCGATTCAGTTGCGGCTGATGCTTAGTCATAGCTTAAGTTGCAGCTCATCGGCTTTGGTCGGCTTGGCTCCATTGTGCAGCTAAAATCGGCTTCGTTAACGGCTCTATTCAGTTCCGAGTTAGACTTGAAACTCGACTCACATTTCATATACATCTTGAATATTTTAAAGATAGCC